GGTAGCGCATTAACTCTTAGAGTTGCCGAAGTGGTGCAGGGGCAGGTAGCGCCAATTCTCATCACGGTCTGAGAATCAACTCTCAAACCGATATCGCCCTGCTAAGCCTTCCATCCCTCCGCTGTCGGTGAATTCGTACCAGACTCGTCTTAGTGAATAAAAACTGGCTTGCAAATCAAATGACGCCCGCAGGTTTTATTGTAAGGTCCTTACCTCGTTCACATGCCACTACAATTTTCAGCGGAAGTAGAATGCGTGGCGCACTGCAAAGGGACTGATCACCATCGAGAGCTAGATCCTTTCATATTTTTATCGCTATTAAATTTAGCTATATTTCAGGATTCCAAAGTTAATCGAAGGTAATGGCGATCGCGTCCAAATTCCTATTGTTACCGAAAAAGATATGGCCAACGAGATTCACATTCGAACTTTCCTTGGACCACAAGAATCGTAAGCTTTGCTTTCTAACGGTTGGCTATTAGTTCACCATGAAACGGAATACAGTAGTGAAACTTCTGTTTGGATTGTTAGTTTGTTTCAGAAGTAAGCTGAGCGTTTTCGAAACTGCGCTGTCAATTCCAAGATTTGCGAGATTTTGTGTTCTACAGTCGGATGAAACGTTTCTCATGCCGTCATCATATGTCGAAGTCGTCATTAAGATTCGAAATCAGAGAGTAAGTGTTTCTGACGATAGAAGAGAAAAGCAGGATTCAAGTGAACCAAAAATTGGCTGAAAAAGAACTATGCAATTCCAAAAAGCGACTGCTAACCGAAAAAATTGGAGCAAAAATCGAGAAGGCATTCGGGAGAAGGTTAATCATCAGAATCTCGAGAACGGGGAAGGAGGTATCAAATAAACACGGGAGGATCCTAGAGTAGCGGGCTGCAAAGATGTTGACAGTGCATGCTGCCGATACGCCCCTTTTCCCTGATTGGCTGCACTCGCATTGGTAATATGTGCACTCGTGAATCAGCCAATCACAAGAGTGGGCGTGGCGGCACTGTTGACACTCCTTACCCATAAGTTGGAGAAAAAATCACCGCAGACGCGGCACGCGACGCATACCCATCGCTGTGTGGTGGGTCTCCTGCTACACTCGTGCAAAAATCATGCAATATGTGAACTAGAATTCGCACATCGTTTTGCAAGAAAGCAAAAAAGAATTTCAATTGAAATTGCTGAGGAAGATCTACTATCACAAAATATTAAAATAATTCCAGCAAATGTGTTCAGATTCTCGACTGGGTGATGGACACATTTCTGATCGACATCGACTTCCCAATGGATCCTGAAGAGGACAAAATGGAGATTCCGTTTTCTTGGCCTAGCATCGAAGCGGGACCAAAAAGTGATCTGGAAGGTGTACATAACACAGCTATTAGGATCCATCACAGAACAACAAGTACAGAAAACTTGCGGCGTCCAATCAGGTCCTTCGTGAGATGCCGATTCAGAGCTTTAATTCAACACAATAGCCTTTTGTCTGGTGTTTGTCTCCGCTAGATAGGCCTGGTTTGAGCAGCATGCGAGCTTAAAAAATAGCCAATCAATAATCGCCCAGAGCGCTCCACCTTAGGGAGACATTCGAAACAGGGCGTCCATAAAGCGCTGGTAATTTGCCGAGGTTAGGCACAGGAAGTGGGGAAGATAACCAAAAAAACAAGAGCTACTTACTCATTTTCTCCCCTCAGATCCCTTCCCCTCCTAAGGCTTAGCTGAGTTCTGTGATGTCTTCACTCCTTCAATGTCCTTTCATAAAACAACAGCGCTGCAATACGCGAGTGCACGATGAGGTAATAAGTTCGCGCAATTTGGGAAATGGAATGAGAATTCTCGCACCCTCCAGGCACGCCCGTCGCGACACAGCAAGAAGGGCAGAGTCGGCGGACGAGTTGCAGCGTGTGGTGTGCGATGTGGGACGTGCGGTGGGACACCCTATTTAACTTGGTGCGAAATCCCTATAGTACGCGCGCGACTCGTCCGCTGACTTTGCCTTCTTGCCGCGCGACGGGCCTAATGGGATACCCCCGAATTTCCTCCGCGCCTTGGGCATCTGTCATCCGTAGTCTGGCAGTCAGCGTTTTGTAGTGATGTCTGGAAGCTTTCACAAGTGCACACTATCACAACATCTCCTCTTTCTTTATCTTCTTCAAAAGGCTTAGTCCCAATAAGACACAAAGTGTGTGCTTTCCAGCTACGCTCTCACCTTTTTGGTTGACAGAAGCCTTATAACCAAATTTCTCACCAAAAACGACGACGGGGAGTGAAACGCAGAGTATGGCCGCAGATCTACCTTGCGTAGGTAATTGAAGTAGAAGGGTCTGAAATCACTCCAAATGATTGACTTGTAGTGGTTCTGGTGAATAAGGTCCAAAGACAAGCTCAGATCTGTTATTAGTCTGAACTGTTTCAAAAAATATGAAAATATATGTGAGAAAAAAAAAAACAAAATAAGAACGCGCCAGCATTTCGGATTTTTTGAATGCACTCCAGACCTTTGCAGAGCTGCAGTGGGAAAAGCGGATGAAAACAAGTAAGACCAACACTGTTTCCCACACTTGGAATGGGCTACTTCTATGACTCCACTTTTTGAATAAATAAAACAATTCAAAGAATCCTTCTATTTTATAAAAATCGCCAACTTGGTGTGTCGATTTGTATGTCTGTGTCTGCATGTATGCATGTAAGTGTGTATGTCCGTCTATCCGTTCGCAAAATGAAGTGGGTGATAAGGCAGCTAATGGAATAAACAACCACAAGCAGAATCGGTACCTCGCAGGACTTGAGAGTTATCAATTGCAATAGACAATTTTGGCAACTATAGAAAGCCCACGAGCGCACTTCCGATGCAATCCACATGTGCTGCAGTGGCAAGCTGACGGCCGTGGAGGGAGGAGGGAAGGATTGGTAAGGGACGCGAAAAGCATCACTAACGAGACTGAGGTGCAATTAGGTATTGATGTGTCATTCTACCGTGATGTAAGCTTTATGGCATCTCCTCTACTTTAGCGAACTCCTTTCATTCGTGACGCGTGCCATCTTCCACAAGGTTTGGTTCACAGGTGGAATGAAGCTATCCTGAACGCAGGGAGGAGGTTCCGGCGGTTGACAGGGGCAGCGAACTCTGGTATATAAAAGCTGTGAGGCAATCGTGATCAAAGATAATATAAAAACGGAATGGTTATTTAAATTCGTTCTAAAGCTTAGAGCGCTAATAATTATTCAGTGCGCATTAAAATCACGCGATCGCCGAATGCACACTTGGTTGCTCCGCGAATGCACACGTGGTGATCTGCAAACTGCGCCCAGTTTCCTAGCTACCACTTTTAAATATGACTCTTTTCAGACAGTGATCTATCACGATTGCATGGAAACCGCTGGCAATATCATACAATCACTTTGTGATTATTTCGTAATCGATTCACTAGAGGCCCATGCCGAATTTCCAGAAAAATTCGCCGAAGTCGAGGAAATCTGCAATGAGGTGAGGCTGTCTTCACATTTCCCTCTTTCGCAGTCTTTCGGTATCGATTTCCGTCATAAATTCAAAGGAAAGAAGTGTCATGGAATAGAAATAAAATATGTAGAATCTCACCTAAATCTTGTACCGTCCACTAGCGCTGCTCCTCCCTAGAGTACGCCCAGTTAGAGGTGTTAGTATGCCTTCATTTTCGTCCAGCCATTAAAAAAGGATCCAACTGAAAATTTCATTTGGCGCAGTAAAGGAACAGGTCACCTTTCTGGGTGAATACCCAAAGTCCTCACGACCGAACTATTTACGAGTTCCGGAGACTGGTCACTTATGCCCGTTTTCATCCTTGCTTTAGCTCGATTCTATGTATGACGTACGGGATCGCTTGACAACAGACCTCACCGAAAAGCAAAGCATGCTGATGGAGGTGGTCGTCAGAGCGGAAGACGCGATTGTCATCGACGATCTGTAGGTCCCTTTACCCAATCCAATTTATTTTGTTCGGAAAAAATCAATTTTTTAAAGGGATCTCGTCCGCAAGTACTACACACGACTTCGCAACATGGACCGCAGCGTTCGACAAGCATTCCATCTTCGAGCGAACAACCATGAGAGATTTGTTGAAGCACTTCGACGGCTACATAAGATCATTGAACAGGCCGCCAAACTTACGATGTAAGCTCTTTTCAGCGTATTTCATTCCGAATTTAGCGAATATTTCAC